ACCTTATAACGTGTGAAATAGCCATGGTAGCATCATCAACTGTAACACAAAAGTTGTAAACAGGTTGTCCATTGCTCCTCATTATAACAAAATCTCCAAGTGTGTCCAATTTCCAGCTAACCTTCATGACACTATCCAACAAAGTTAGTGCCTATATAACTACACTACAGTTAAGTGTTATGCATTGTGTTGTTAAGGGACTCCTGAAGCTTAAACATAATGATACCACTGAGTTAAAAATCCTTAGATTACATAAAAAAAAATTGAGGTTTGCCGGTCACAAGGCTATTAAGGGAGAAATAGCTTAATCAATTGGGCTTACTTCGCCTCGAATAAGGTCATTAATTTTTAAGCTCCCTTCCTGCGGAACACGAAATCGATATGTATATGGGGTTCCCTTTGCTAGCTCATCCTGTACTTCTTCATCTGTTGCAGTGGCCCACTTCCCCGTATATACTGGAGGAAGCTTCTTTAGCTCTGCAATTTCCTTCATTTTTTCAAGTTCCTATAAAAGATTAAAAAAGCACCTATGAGTTGAATGCTAAAAAGTGATCATAATTCATAGATACAGAATCACGCTACTAATAATTCAAATGGATCATAGGCTATGTCTTTTGGGACAGGAAATTCACATTTAATATCCAAAGAAATAGTTTTCTTCCGATTTCCAGAGGCAATCAGCTGAAACCGAAAGCAATTCAAATCTCTTCTCATTTGCAATGCACTACTAACTTAGAGCCAAATATAATGCAATGTGACCTTTATAGAGCAATTACCTCATTGGAACAAAAACAACGATAAACATGACCAGATTCTAAGAGCTTCTCAGCATATTGCTTGTACATAGCATTTCTTTCAGATTGTCGATAAGGACCATAGTCCCCACCCACGCCAGGGCCTACATAGAAACAGACAAATCTATTAATGCTAAAAGAGATGAGCAGAATGCTAGTACATGTAGAATTGCAGGAATACATTTCAAACCAAATTAACTGAAACAAAAACACAATGATAAAAGCAGATAAACAGTGCCTTCATCCCAGTCAAGACCAAGCCAAGCTAAATCTCGAAGCACGGCCTCCTCTGATTCCCGCGTCGACCTCTCCAAGTCAGTATCCTCGATTCTCAGCACAAATTTACCCCCCTTCGATCTAAAATTCCACAACAACAAAAAAAAATCATAATTGACAAAGTTCGACACGAAAAATTCGAATTAATGTACAAGAAGAATAGAAGTAGTAGTAAAAAACCTAGCAAACAAGTAATTGAAAAGAGCAGTTCGAGCACCACCAACGTGGAGATTGCCGGTTGGCGAAGGAGCGAAACGCACTCTGACCGGTACATCACTATGGATTGATGCGCGCACGGAGAGATTTCTACGAAAATGGCGGCGAAAAAGAAACGGAGAGCCGAGTTCAGGGAACACTCTGATTCTCATCCATGGCGTCCCTGCGACGAGAGTCGCCATTTCTGAAACGAAACGGGAGATGAAGAGAAACTCGAAAAAGGATAGGAGACAGATACAGCAATGTTTCAAAGACTTGCAGCCGTGCCTTAAGTCTATTTGATGTGAGATGAACGGCTGTGATGAAGCCAGGGGTGAATATTTAACTCTGTCGAAATTTTCAATTTAAACAGCAACCTTAAGGAAATAAAAGGGGCCGTGATGGTGACCAGGCACCCATAAACCATACTTACCTTCTACGATCCCCCGCTTAGGCTTCAACAGATCTTTGTTATATATTTAAGTCCACTAGCAAGTCCCATTGATACTCAAATAAAAAAAAATAGATTTAATATAATTTTGGCATTAATAGTTTTGAGAAATAAATCACTTTATTCCTGAAAAAGGAAATGTTCTTGAGCTCTAACATTGTATTTAAGAATTCAAATTTTCGAAAGTGAAAAACATATTTTCATTACTAAGCTAAAAGAAAGTCCAAAGACTTTTACTTTGTAAATATTTATTTATTTTTGGATTCAAAATTAAGTGAAAAATATTTTTTTGCAAATGTTTCTTAATTTATATCTTCATTTTTTTTTTACTTTAAACTGACTTTCAAATGATTAACTTTTAAATCTAAAAAAAGGTGATTAAAGGAAAGGAAATAAGAAATAGTGTGTAGGATTTGAAAACAAGGAAAAGGGGATTGATACCCTCATTCATTGGATTAATCCCATGAGTCTCGTAAGCCTCTCTAAATATTGACAAATTTAAATTTTTATATGAGAAGTGATTAAAAAATATTTATAAAATAATTATATTATATTAAGGTTTATATTTATAATAATAAAAAAATTAAAATTTGAGAGGTGGCAGGTGACTCCGCCTCTATATCTAGAGCAATTTTCTTCAAGGATGGATCCCTTCGCTTAGTGTATCCACCATTTAAAGGGTTTTAGCCTTGCAATAGTCATTTTTCTCATAAAATAATGGTTAATTTTTATCCTAAAGCAACCCCAACCACTTTAAGTTTATTCCAATTATAGAAAAAGAGGGAATAATCTTGAAAATTATTTATATAACCTCCTCAAGCATTTAAAAAATAATCATGTTGTTTGAGTTTTAAGGTTTTATTCTTGTATTTAAATCTTGGTAAATCATTTCCCCTATACTTACCAAGCAAACATTCAACCTTTTAGAGATTATTGTAAAAACTTAGATCTTATTTGAGATCAGGAGTGAGGCATCCTTAAGAAAACTTAGGGGGCGTTTGTTTTGAAGGATGTAAAGTACATTACCTGTAATGTGATTGATTAAATTACATTGCAGTGTTTGTTTTGTAACAAATCACTGTAATGTAAGATTGCAATGCAATCCACATTGCAGCCAATGGATGTAATGTGATTGCAGTCCAAAACCAATGCAATCACATTACATTGCACTCTGCAATGTTCTTAAAAACAAATTTACCCTTCAACTTTATTATCTTATTAAAAATATTTTATAATATTATAATTAAAATATAATAAATAAGAATAAAAATTAAAATAAAATAAAATATAAAAATTAATATTTATATAATATAGATAAAACAAATTAAAATAAAATATAAAATATAAAAATATATTAAAGAAATGAAAAAAATATAAAATTATAATAATAAATAAAAATAAAATATATGACATTAAAATATATTTAAAATATGATATTATATAAAAATTAATAATATAAATATAAATATATTAAAAATAAAATATAAAATATTATAATAATAAATAAAAATAAATATATGACATTAAAAATATATTTAAGAAATGATATTATATAAAAATTAATAATATAAATATAAATAATATTAAAAATAAAATATAAAATATTATAATAATAAATAAAAATAAAATATATATATAAAATATATTTAAGAAATGATATTATATAAAAATTAATAAAAAATAAAAATATATTAATAATAAATATAAAATATTATATAATAAATAAAAATAAAATATATGATATTAAAATATATTTAAAAGATATTATATAAAAATTAATAATAAAAATATAAATATATTAAACTTATATTTTAATAATTAGGGGTAATTTTGACAATTAGCATTACATTTCCACTAAAGTACTTGTAAACCAAACACTGCAATGTTATCTTCCCTGCATTTTAATCATTATTTTACTTACATACCAAACTGTAATGTTATTTTCCCTGTAATCACATTGGCATTGTAATGTACCAAACGCCACCTTAGTGAATCCGATCTCTTGGTAAGGGAAAGTAAAAAGAGAGGACAATTTTAACTATAGTTATGAATTTTTATAAAAACATGTGTTTCAGTTTTTAGAAGTTTCTAAATTAATATATATATATTTGGAAGAAAGTTGATTTAATTTTTTTTTAAAATATCATATACTAATAAATGAATCAAATACTCATATGTTTTTATTTTAATTTTGAAATTATGAAATTATTAAAATTATATTTTAATCTTAAAAGATAATAATATAAAGCTATACTTTAAACTTTTAAAAGATGTGATTGATTTGAACTTCACGATTACAACAAAGTTGCATAATTTATTTTGACCTATTTAAATTGGTTCAAAAGTTAATGATCAAAACCTAAATTGAATGATTATGAAAATTTTCTTTTTATATATATGAGAAAATCTTAAAAAAGAAAAGGCTTAAAGTTTTTTATCTTAATTAACTCATAAAGAGAGATAACAACAATCAAATCAAATCTCAATTGTTATCTTAAAAATATTATTATATGTAAATTTCAAATGATTAATCAAAACCCATCCAATTGTTATTTTTAAATTAGAGATATCTACAAAAAAGGCTTAAGATAGTCCCAAAATGATTCAACTACGGAAAATCAAATCCGATTAAACTCGACTCACCCATTTACATAAATACTTGTTTTTATTTATTTTTAACTAGCAATTATCTGTAAAATAAAAATATTTTAAAGTGAAAAGTTTTTTTTATAAATAAAAGACAATTACAAGTGAAAAATAATTATATAAAGAGATAATTAATGTTTCAATTATACATTATTAAAATTTTATTATTCTAATTTATAATTGATTCAATACTAAACATTTTTAATGAAAATCATTCAATTTGGATAAATTTTTCTTTACAAATTGGATAAATTTTATTAATGTTTATACTAAAAAATATTTTAATGAAAATCATTAGATACAATTAGAATTATTATATTTAAAAATTAGATAAATCTTATTAAAATTAATAAAAAATATTTAAAAAATAACAATTGAAGATTATAATGAATAAATATGACCAGTAATATAATTTAAAATATAATAAAAAGATATGATAGTTTTGTCCATCAAAAAATTTTCTAACACCCGTATTTATATATATATATATATATGTTATAGACAATGTTTAAATATTTGTGCAAGAAAAATATTAGAATAAAAATTAAAAAATTAAATAAAAATAAATTGTTTGTTTATATATCACTTGGAAGTGGGCTCAAGTTTAATCAAAAAACCCGAACCAGACCCGGAGTGGATTGGATCTACGGAATTTACCCTGGACGCTTTTATTTGAAAGAAAATCCAAGCGGCGTCAATGTCGCAGTGTACGGTGTTGTTTGTCCGGAAGCTGTTATCTTCATATCGCATTCGGTCCTGAAGGCTGAAGCCCACCACAAGAAGCTCCATCAGTAGCCGAAAATATAGAATGAAGGAATGAATCAAACGATTGCAGCGCCAACTCCTTCAGCTTGCTTCGTTACTGATAGAGGCAGTACCTTTCTGCAATTCAAATTGAACCATAAAGCCATGGTGATTACCATGAAAGACAGAAGCAAGAATCGGAAGCCGCTGCAGAGAGGCAGGAATCTCAGCATCGAAGCAATTCAAGCCGTGCAGGCCTTGAAGCGAGCCAACCGCAACACTTGCAAAAATCCCTTGCCGGAATTGGAGCGCGTCTTTGACTCCAAGTTCCGGCGCTTATTGAAGTTCGATATGATGGCTGTTCTCCGGGAACTCCTCCGGCAAAACGAATGCCTTTTGGCTCTCAAGGTTTGTTTTCTTTCTTCCTCCTCTTTTTTTTTCATTTTATTATTTTTTCATTATAATTCGCAATCAATTTCTTGAAAAATATGAAATGGAAGTGAAAATATTGCATCAATTAATCTTAGTTTGGAGAATAATGTCTTAACTGGTTAATCCTTTTTTGTTCGTTATGATTGATTTCTGGAATTCATGTTTACGTTTCCTCTTTGAAGCACCAATTTTGATTTTATTTAATCCGAAAGAGTAATAGATTTAATCAATTATTATACTCCATTACCATTAGAGTTATTTATTTGTTTTTCGTTTGTGCTAAGCAGAAACTGAAGAACTGATGTCAGTATAAATTTTGGTTATTTGATCTAGGTTTTCGACGAAATTCGAAAGGAGGTCTGGTACAAGCCTCAGGTCTTGTTATATGCTGATATGATTGCAGTGTTTGCCAGCAATGGGTTGTTTAAAGAGGCTGAGCTTCTCTACTCATATTTGAAAACAGAAAGCAAATTAGATCAAAACATCGAGGGTTTCAATGCTCTATTCAATGCATTGATAAATTTTAAGCTCACTCAACTCGTGATGGATTGCTATGGTTTGATGAAAGCTATAGGGTGTGAACCTGATAGATCATCATTTAGAATACTCATAAACGGTCTAGAATTGACAGGCGAAACAGGTTCTTCAGCAATTTTAAGACAGGATGCTCAGAAATATTATGGTGAATCTTTGGAGTTCCTTAAGGAGGAAGAAGAGGTTACAGCTAGCTATTAACTTATTTGGTAGGACAACTGATTAATCACTGTTTGTAAGTGGTCTGGAGCCAGCTTTCAGAGAAACTTTTATAAAACTAGAGATTGCTTTCTGGTATTACCTATAGTATTTTGGCAGTGCCAACTTATTTCTAGTGGTAATAACATGCCAATTCCTAGAATTTTACTTTCTCTTAAGTAATACTACCAGCCGTGCAGGTCTTGGATTTTCGCTGTTTACCAGTTTATTCTTTAGATTGTTATCTCAGCTGCTCAGACTTATGGATCAATGACTTTTGCTTTGTGCCATTAGAGCCTTAGGGGGTGGGTGCCCTTTTGTGGGCATTCTGCCAAGCTGATTTCCATATTTGCAGCTTACTCTTCATGTGGAAGCAAAATATTTTGCGGGCCCAGCATCTGGAAATACACCCAAAAGCAAAACCAGAGAATGCGAGGTGAGATTTATATATAACGTTGCTTTTAAATAATCATACATTGCATAGAAAATTATGCTCTCTAGCAACTATATTATAAAGTGACAAAACTGGGACCTTCTATTCCTGTTTCTTCAACCTTTTTCTACACTTTTTCTTCTCTTTTGACTATTATGCCGCTTCAATGGCAAATCTGGAGATGTTCTCGCTTTCACACTATCTTGTTAGTGCGAACTTGAACACCTCTTCAATATAGATCTTAAAGTTTTCAGCAATGGCTGATAGGGGAAGTTATCTACGCCATCTTTCCCTATATAAAAATCTCAAAGATCGTTTCATTACTTGAACTGTTTTCCTTCATACGTCTGACCAAACTGCCAATTTGCTGGAGCAACACTGTAAGATGCAAGTGTCCTGCCGCTACTGGCAGTTACCTCAAAAGAAAGTGGCTGTCCGATAAGGTTGATATTGCACTGCCAGTTTTGTCCCCAGTTTCTCGCCATGGGTATCCACCCTGTTTTGGGGCCCTTCACTTTCACTCCTACTACTTCACCATCCAATCCCACATTGGTAATCAGGACCTGACAGAAGTGAGCGCTCCCACTCATTGTGAATCTTATCCCACCCCTTCTTTCACACTTTACCCTACACAATGTTTGCATAAACAATGATTCCTTTGATACAAATAAATGAAAATTTTCTTAAATCTTGCCAAACGTATATAGTTTGATATGTCATACCTCTTATACTGAACCGGCACAGTGTCTGCTTTTCTCTCTGCAATTTCAGCAAACGCTGCCTCAGACATCTCAAAGTGTTCCTTGGGAAAATTGCACCAGCCACCGTAATCCGCTGAAAGCCCGTAATTCGGTGGACAGAAATCTGTGGCAGTGAGGATGACAGAGGGGCTCCCTTGGAGACACCACAAGATGTGGTCAACACATCTGAGTTCAAAGCAACCTCCACAGGTACTCCCTTTGTTGAATAACTTGGTACTAAGTCCAGCACTGTACTTCCCATAGCTCGCCTTGTGAATATCCCCATAACCACAAGCTCCTCCTGCCAGATTAGGCCAGTACTGTTAGCTTAAATTAATTTTAGTTTTCTGTACCAATTTGAAATACCTATTAATATGAAAGAGCATTCTGTGGTTGAAACTCTAAATCGAATGTTGCAAAAGAAAGTACCTCTGATGATTGATTCGTCTGCTTCTTTGGTATATGTTGCAGTAGCTGACATCCATTCTTCCTCCTTGGAAATGACCTTGGTTGTTAGCAGTAGAATCAAATAGAGAACTGTAACTTTAAGGGCACCCATTTGAGGCCTCTGAGAACTTTGAGTAGTGATTGATGATAATATGTGATTCTTTTTCTTCTTTCCTCTTTATGGGGATTGTTGTGAGAGGAAGGGTTAAAAAAGCCCCTTTCCCCTGGCAAAGGACCTCAAACTCCTTGTTGAGGTGAAGCTAAGTTAGGTCTGTCCTTAACTTGCAATCTAGGTGGAAACCGCATTCGGAGTACAAAGTTTGAACTTAGGCAAAAAGACAAATAGGGATATGGAGTCCTTCGCTCATATTTGTGGGGTCGCTCGACAAGAGCCTGATGAAGGGTATCTTTGTCTACAATGGAAAAGAAGGAATGCTTTATTTTTTTTCATTTCTTCTTTTCTAGTTGGTAATGAGACTGAAAAAAGGTGTGCTCCCTGCAATTGGCTACATAGTTAAGAGAGCAAGGCCAGAAGGGTCTAAGGCTTTGTGATTGTGGCAGACAGGAAAAGCGAAAAGTCTGAGAATAAGATAAACTAGGACTATTAAGAATCCTAAAACATATTATAAAGGGGTTTAGATTTGTTTCTAGCAACTAGCAAAGCACTTAAAGAAGTCAAGCTACATCCACGGCTCATCTTTTTAGGAGAGAAAAATAAAGATGGGACGGACTTCACAGGGGAAAAGGCTTTGACTGTTGAGAGGCGCTCACTGACAGACATTATACTCAATACAATCCCAAACCAAACAAGGGAGAAAATATTAGATGGGAATAGAGCCAAATAGCTTAGGTATCTCCTGCACCGTGCGTGGTGTACTAGTGTTTCGCGTGACACGTCGCCAAGTGAGAGAGAGGGCACAAAATTTTGGCGGGATAAATCGAAGGAGAAATTAGCTCAAGTGGCCCACCATGAAGCGTGAGCGCACTAACGCTGTTGCCCGAATTGGTTGTGACATGCTATAAATGAAGTTTAACTTCAATTCTCGATAATAAGATAGCATTTGATATAAAAAAAAGTAAAAATATATTTTTATAATATATTTAATTAAATTATATTACAATATTTATTTTACAACATATAACTATAATGTAAGATTATAATATAGTAATAATATTTGTAAAAATATTTTTATTTTTTAATTTTACTATTTTATTAAAAATATTTTATAATATTATAATTAAAATAAAATATAAAAATTAAAAATAAAATAAAATATAAAAAATTAAAATTTATATAATATAAGTAAGAGAAATTAAAATATAAATATAAAAATTATATTAAAAAAATAAAAATAAAATATATAAGATTATAATAAA